AATTCCCCTACCGTCAGTGTGTTCAAGAGACAACTGGATTCTCACCCGCTGAAAGGCAGCCCGAACTGCCGAAGCCTGATCTTACGGATTACTGAAATGACTATAAATAAACTACTAACATGATATCAACAGATCCTTTTTGGGCATGAGACTTGGCCCGTATGGAAATGTTCACAGTCCGAATGCGGTACAGTCCGAACGCCTGTACCGTTTAAATGGAGTTTGCAGGGCTCCTGTCATTTACCCCAAATATACTGACTGACCGATCTAACACAAGGCGTGCTGGAGTTTTATTTTTTGGCGTAGCGGATATGCGATCTTCTAATGGAGAGCAACTGTACCGCAAGACGAAGTTTCCCTGTCAGATTGTCCACACTCATCGTCACCTCTTTTCATCTTTAGAGATATTTCGTGTTAGGTCAGCGTGCAGCATACACTTTCAGCTATAATTGTTGTCCTGGCTCTGTATATAATGCCCTGGTCGCGTCGAATGTCGCTTAAACCTCCACATGCTACTGTTGCACTTATCGACGATTGCGCCAATAAAAATGCTCAGTAACTATATGGTACTTCGTTTGATGGTCACTCATTATAAGGCAGCATTTGCTTTCTTTCACTTCCAGTGTTTTTGTAAAATTCCTTTTACGCTTTAATACTAAAAAATATGGAATCCGTAAGATACTCAGATGGTCGAACTTGACTGCAGAAATAACAGTCGCTGAATCATTCGAGTTGGTGCAAGAAAAGTGTTAAGAAAAAGTACTCCTTAGCTTACGGCGGTCGCACAGTATCACGCTTTATTTGCGTCTGCTAGTTCTCATAGGACAAGGCTAATGTCTCTCATGTTTTAACATCGTGACTAACAAGTCTACATATCGGCTGACCGCACGTGTGTAGTCGTCGCTGACCCGAAAGAGCTGACATCGTTGAGTGACGCCACTCGTCTCCTTACGTTTTGAAAGACAATAGGCTGCCGAAAGTGAGAACTATGCACTACTTCACGCGGTTTACGCAGAAGAGTTTACCTAGCCCCAGCCTTAAGTTTATGCTGAGCAGGTAGTCCCAGGGCGGTTTTCTAGACAGAGACCTCTTGTGTTTGTGACCTCACTGCATACGCACGCAAACTCTGAACTTTGGAAAATCGCATGTTGTATCACCTGATCTTTCCAGCTAAAGAAATGTTTAGATGGTGAAAATCGAATTTTGACTTTGCAGATGATTGTAGGCATGACGCGCATG